CGTGAGAGAGAGACGTGTGTGTGTGTGTGTGTGTGTGTGTGTGTGTGTGTGTGTGTGTGTGTGTGGAGGGGGGTATGTACGAATATGCGAATTTCAAAGTTTTAATAGAGGAAAAACTACCATGTGAAGAATGCTTCATTATAGTACACCCAATTGGTCACTGGTCATTAAACAGCCTTTAAAATTAAGAGGGCTATTGAAAGCACAGAAAATGTTCAGTTTTATTAAAATAAACATAATAACTTTTCAATTTAGTCAACTAGTTAATTAATTAACTTTTTCTTGCCAGAGGGCACATGCACATGTCAGAGAGAAAGAGAGAGGGATAAAGCACCCCGCCTGTTGGGGCCTGGTCATGCCACAATTCCCTTTCCTCCATTCTTCCTTCCTGTCAGGATCCTGGGCACATGTGCACACACATCCAGGGTGTTTTTCTTTCTTTCTTTCTTTCTTTCTTTCTTTCTTTCTTTCTTTCTTTCTTTCTTTCTTTCTTTCTTTCTTTCTTTTTAAGGGAGATTTTTGCTATTGGGTGTGTGCACTTACTGGAAAGACAGGGAGAGAGAGACAGACAGAAAGCAAGAAATCACCCCCCCACCATCCCTAGGACTTGAACCGTGCTCAACTATGTGGGAACCCAGCAATGTAACTATTATGCCATCTGGTGGTCTCCCCAGAGTGTTTTTCAAGCCACCACAAGCAGGATTCGAACCTCAGTTGGCCATGTAGGATTCAGCTCCCTCCACACAATGCTTAACCCCTACACAACGGGGCTTGCTCTATAATAATCAATATATAATGCTAATCTTATTACTTATGGAATTATTTTTAAACTATAACACTAAAATAGTTTTTAGCCCATTTTCTTTCAGAGAGAGCGATTTTTGCTATAGGGTATGTACGCTTGCCAGAGAGAAAGAAAATGAGAAATCACCCCCTTGGGTGCATGGCCACGCCACAACCCCTTCTCCTCCATTCTTCTCTTGGGATTTTGAGCATGTATGCACACACGCCCAGCGTGAGTTCATGCTGCAAGGTCTGGGACTTGAACTGTAGTTGACTATGTGGGAGTCCAGTGATATAACCATTATGCCATCTGCTTGTCCCTTAGCCCTATTTTTTTTTGTATATATTTATTTAATTACATTTGTTATTATAATTTTTTAATTTGACCAGTGAGAGAGAGAGAGAAAAGGAAAGTGAGAAAGCAAGCCACCAGGTCTGTGACTCAAATCACGGTTGGCCGTATGGGAGTCCAAAGCCCCTAAACACCATGCAACCTGGCAGCCCCTTTGCCCCTATTTTTAAAATGAACCTTTAAAGGGCAACATTTTGTGCACCACTGGGAAGGGTATATATATTTTTCTTTTTCTTGATAGAGCCCATGAGCATGTGAAAGAGAGAGAGACGTGCCCTACACAGGGTCTGGTCATGTCGCGATCCCCTTTTCCTTCCCCTAAACCTATCAGGTCTGGGACACTCGCATGTGTGTGCACATGTTTCAGGCTGACCAGGCTGGAGTTTGAACCACGGTCGCCACGTGAGAGCCGCTTCTCTTGAGCAGTGCGTGACCACTGCACCGTGGAGCTGACCCCTGTGTGTACTGGAGCTTGCTCCCTTGGGCTGGTGGGAGGCAACTGGTAAACATGGAGGGAGTTCATTCGCCACCGTAAGCTCAAAATCAGCCACGGTGGGAGTATTTATACCATGGTCATGAACGAATGCTACAAACCAGTTCTGTTTGTCCCCGGTCCCCTCGTTTATTAGCAGACCAATGGGTATGGTTTGTTACCCAAACAGCTGATGTGTTAGAGAGGTAAAATACCGACTAGCTTACATTTGTTATTCAGCTGTTAGAATATCATTTGTGGGGGCCAGCAGGTGGCGTGGTGGTTACAGTTCTAGACTCCCACATAGTTGACTGTGGTTCGAGTCCCGGACTGAGCAACTTGAAAATCACACAAGGCACTTGTGCGTGCATGCCCCAAATCCTGAGAGGAGAATGGAGAAGGGATCATGAAGCAGCTGTCCCCCCTGGGGGCTGATTTCTCCCTCTCCCTCCCTCTCTGTCTCTCTCTGGAAAGAGCATGCACCCTATAGCAAAATCAAAGGAAAGCAAAAGTTTCGTTCTAACAGAGTGAACTGAAGGAGGCCACACCCAGAGAAGGCTGCCCACCTCTGCCTGGCTGAGTCAGGATGAGCACTCCCGGCCCTTCTCTGGACCCCTCTATCTCCTTACCTCAGTTTTCCTCCTGAGTTTCTCACCTGATATGTGAAATGATGTGTTCATCTGTCCCCCCACCAGCGAGAAGCCCAGGCCCATGCAAGCAGAGGCTTTGTTTCATGCACAGCATGTGCCGCAGCACCAAGGCTGGTCACGGGCCCCAGGGGCTCTGCTGAGCCCTGGCATGCCTGAGTGAGCTCCCCATTCTGGGGTGTCATGAGAACAGATGTGCTAACACGTCACTTACTTGTTATAAACCGGAACCACTGACAAAACCTGCAGTAGAAAAAAATCATGTTACAAAGAACATTGAGAGGGAAGAAAGACATGGAGAATATCTATGGGAAGCATATGACCACTTAACACTGTCGGTATTATGACAGCCACGCTTTTTCTCTTTTTAATATGAAGAAGAAGTTGGGTGAAGATGGATACATCAATCTACACAGAAACAAGTTTGGAAAATAGGACTTTTTTTTTTTTTAAAGTTTTTGCTACAGAGCATTTACAGTCATCAAAGAAAGACAGAGATAAAGTGAGAAATCAGCCCCCAAGGAGGGTGGCCATGCCACAATTCTTTCTCCACTCTCCTCTCAGGATTTTGGGAACACACACATATGAGGATTTTCAGACTGCCAGGTCTGGGATTCAAACCGTGGTCAGCCACGTGGGAGACCAGCACCTTACTTACTACACCACCTGTTGGCCTCAAACATTTTCATTTATCAACATTTGTAGGATTTCAGAGATTTTTTTTTTTAATCACTATTAACAAAGACACGAAACACACTGACCATGTAAAGACAGTTACCTGGAAAAGGGTCTCCAGGCTGAGGTTGGCCTGCCCCGTGGCATTAAGGGCTTTGATGGCAGGAGTTCTGCAAGGACAATGGTCAAAGGTCACTTGGCACTTCAGGAAACCCTAAATCCTACCAGCTCTCATTTTGGGGGACACATGCAAAACCCAGTTTCACAATGTCCCTTCTCCAAAGTCCACTCTGGCCCCCAAGCCTGTTTCCTGACTCGGCCCAACCAACATGATTGAATTCGTTCAACAGCTGGGCCGGGGCCCCCATCGGCTCAAGGAAGCTGGGATGGGGACAATGCAGAAATAAATAGTCACCAAACATGTGGGGTCTTAAAGCCAAAGTGAGGGACACAGCTACCTGCTCTTTGGGAACACCTTGACTAGTCGAATTTTCATAATTAGAACATAAGATGGAAGTTCCCAACTGGTTTTGCAGTTGATTGAAATAAGAGAAATGTTTTCTGAGAATGTCTCACACAGAAGAGCACAAATCCAGTCCTCTCCTCACAGACAGGTAAACAGAGACTGGAGAGGCCACCCAGAGGTAGAACCTTGGGCTCCTGACCCTAGGTGCAAGGCCAAACTCGTCCTCCCAACACCCTCTAAGCCCCAAGAGCCCTCCCCACTGCTCTCCACCAGACTCTGAACTCCCCACCCCAGCAAGGCACTCGCCATGGGTCCAGGTGTGTTTTCTGGAAGAGGCTAGCTCCCCTCTCCCCAGTCCTGTGACAGGAGGGGCACGTTCTCCTGGTCACAGGAAAACGCTGCAAACCAGACAGTGCACAGACGACTACCTTCGGTCATCTCCCCTGGGTGCTGGCTTCCAGTGGTCATAATTTGTCTCAACTCGGAACCACCTACAACAGAGCACATCATGTCTTACCCAAGGTCACTGAGGACACAGCTGAAGGAGAAATGTAAACACAGAAACATGGTAGCTTCCCCAGTTAAGGAACAAAGATGACTTGATACAAAACGACCTTCAATGCTACTCACGCTCCATTCAAAGGATCTAGAGGCCAGATGTCTGCGGGGCCACCTCTGTTCCTTGTGATAACCACTCCCTCCCTGGGGGACGTGCCACCAACGATATAATAAATATCAGCGATGAGAGGAGTCTTGGCCAATGTGGACACAGCTGCTTCGAAGTTTTCCGCCTCACTCAGGGTCTGAATGAAAAGACAAACTCGCATTGGCCACATCGCCCAAGGCTGGGGTCCACACCAGCTGGTTAACACATGGTCCAGAGGTAGCAAGTCATGGCTGCCGCCCTGAACTGCTCTGACCGCATCCTCTTGTCACCTGGGTCTGTGAGACGGGAGAAACCTCAGCTTCAGCCTGGAGCCACCCGGCGACATCAGAAAGAACTCTGACAAGTTCTAGCTTCGCCACCTAGCACAGATGCACGCGCTCTAGGCAGGGCCCCCACAAAGGACTCTGGATTTCTTCGTTCTTCTGTTCTTTCAATAGGTATTTTCCAAAGACCTACTGTGTGCTAGACACTGTGCTGGTGTGGGGACAGAGCACTGAGGGGGACTGGTCTCGTCTCTGTGCTCGCCGGGCTTCCAAGGAAGACAGAGGAGTCACTGGCAATGTGCCACAGTGCAGCGAGTGTGAACTCTGGAGGGGAGAAGTGTGGACGTCACCTCACGGGTCCCCCATCAGGTTGGGCAGTGGAGGCCTCCCAGGGAGACAGCACAGGAGCGAGGCCAGAGGGACAAACAGAAGTTGGACCAGGAAGTGCTGGTTGCGAGGTGAGGACTGAACGTGGGGAAGAGTTCTGGCTCCGTGGACTAGAGCGCCAGTGGAAGGGGGTGGAAGAGCGCTCGCTGCAGGGGCGCGGGCACCAGTCTCCCCAGGCATCTGAAACTGTGTGGTGGATGTGCAGTTCGCCATGTCCTTCCCGAGTATCCGAATAAAAGCCAGGAACTGTAAGAAGGCTGGCAGGGCCAGGTGGCTTAGAGTAAGGCAAGGAAACTAAAGGTGGTCAGGTCAGGATTCTCGCCCCAGAGATGTGCTTTATGTTTTATTTTCTTAAAATAATCATTTTTTTAAAAAAATGATTTTTGCTATAGGACATGTACTCTCACTGGAGAGACAAAGACAGGGCAGAGGGACAAAAAGCGAGAAATCACGCCCGGGGGGACAGCCATATTGCAATCCTTTCTACTCCATTCTCCTCTGGGGATTTTGGACACACAATGCACACACACACCCAGTCTGAGTTTTAAACTGCTGGGTCTGGGACTCGAACCATAGTCAACTATGTGGGACTCCAGTGACGTTAACCATTGCACATCTGCTGGTCCCCCAAAAAGAACTATTTGTTTAATTTTATTTATTTTTTTTAAAGTTAGGCACAGGGCTCATGCGCTCACCAGAGAGAGACAGAGAAAGAGAGAACGTGAGAAAGCAAGCCCCCAGGTTTGGGACTCCTGCTGTGTTTGACCATGTGGGAATCCAGCACTTTAACCACCACCACACCTGATGACCCCACGTGTGCTCTTGACAATGGGCTTTTTGTGGTCAATTACAAGTTGCATGGCTGTGACCCAGCTCTATTTACAGGCTGGGGAGAAGCAGTTGTTCCTTTGTTGCATGTGGGCTATCCTCTAATGATTTTGCTTACTCAGATATCTGCAAATGGAGCTTCTAGAAGGAAGCGGCATCTATAGAAGAGCATAGTATCTTATCTCGATCAGTTACTGTGGGAAACTTTAACCTAGGGCAAAGATTCGCTCCTTGGCAAACTCCAGCCAGCCTCCTCTGAGCCCTTTCTCTATTAGAGCTTAACCTCAGCTTGTAAAGACGTAAACTAACACCCACACAGCTTCTTATAGCTCAAGGCCACATCCTTAAAATGATCCTAGGCCTGCTTAAAGTACATCTGAAGTTTAAGGCTGTTAAAAGAATTTAATTTGGATAAAAAAAGAATTATTTAATTTGGGTCCCGCAGGTGGCATGGTGGTTAAGGCACTGGACTCCCACAAGTTCGACTATAGTTCAAGTCCCAGACTCTGCAGCTTGAAAATCATGCTGGACATGTGTGCGTGCCCAAGATCCTGAGAGGAGAATGGAGGAGAAGGAATTGTGGTGTGGCCATTCCCCCGGGGGGTGATTTCTCATTTTCTCTCTCTCTGTGTCTCTCCTGGCCAATGCCTGAAGATAGGGTCCCTGTCTGTCTCTGTGGGAGGATTGAGCCTAACTTCTGAGCTCCAGCGAGCACACCTACGTGGGCTGCATACCAATCAACACTTCCTTCTCCCTTTTTATACTTTTTCACTTCCCTGACTCTACTGAGCTCTGCCTTCCTTCCTCCCTCACTCTTCCCTTAAACACCCAGTCACCTCTGTGCAGATCTGGGTTCTGTCCACACTGGATGCTCCTCCCTATTGCAGTAGCACACCCCTGGTCAAAATCTGGCCTCACCCCTTTAACCTAGTGTTCGGGTTTTGTTTGTCTCTGACACTTATTCTTGAAAAGGTTTGCATGCATCTTGCAAACATTTAGATGCTTATTATTTCCAGGAGTGCCTTTTATTAAAAAATAACCTTGTGAAATTACACTGAGCATCACAACATGCACACACCGATTAGAAGAGGAAATTGTGGTGGGGAGGGATTGACAGCAAACATACGCACCGTGCGGATAAGCCAGCTGATCAGAGAGTATCTCTGGAATACGGCAGCGATGACATTCTCCCACCACCATCCTTTATCTGCCAAGTTGAGGAAGGAATAATCAGCTTACGCCCAAACCAAACTGCTGTCCAAACACCATTATTATCATTATGACTTTGGGGGGGGGGCGTCCAAGCACCATTATTATCATTATGACTTTGAGGGGGGGGATTTTGCTATAGGGAGCATGAGCTCACCAGAGAGACGGAGAGACAGAAAGTGAGAGATTACCCCCAGGTGGATGGCCACACCGCAATCCCTTCTCCTCCATTCTCCTCTTGGAATCTTGGGCACACGTGCACACACGCTTGGCGTGAGTTTTAAGCTGCCAGGTCTGGGACTCAAACCACAGTCGACTACATGGGAGTCCAGTGATGTAATCATTATGCCATCCGTTGGTTCTCAAGCACTATTATAAAAAAATTCCTCAAATCTTGTCCCCCACCCCCACCCCATATTATAAGCTGATGGGGGAGAAAGATTGGCTGATGAGGAGTGATTTTACTGGTGTTCAGTTTTCAAAGACTAAGCTGAATTTCACAGCAACTGTAACATCTTGTGTGTGCGACCATTCATGCATACAGTAATGACATAAGTACTACCAAGCAGAATATGCAGTTTTCACCTAAGTTTTGAAAGCATATACTTTTGTATCTGGATATAATGATAATTATGCAAAAGGAAATCATTCTATGAATGACCCAGGCAGAATTAAATTATGTAGCTGTCAAGAAAATTGGCTGGGATTACATCAGATTAAGGAGTTTCTGTACAGCAAAGGACACTGTAATTGGTGTGAATCCACAACCTGACAACCCTCGGAATGGGAGAGAATTTTTGTTAACTGTGCCTCAGATAAGGGACTGATAACCAGAATA